CGCAGGACGGAGCCTCCAGGAAGGAACAGCCACCTGAAAGAAGTCTTAAAGATGCACGGGAGGTGGCCATTCTGGCAAAATCTAAGCAGAAATGCCATCCAGAGCAAGTCGCTCTTGAAAGCCGCATGTGGGGGCAGCTCTGGGGTCATGAGCTCCACAAGAACCGACCAAACGGTACCAGGCCTGTGCACGCATGCCTGGGATTTTGCTGAGAAAAAGACAAAAGATAAGCAATTGTGGCCATACCAGCCTCTGGCAGCGTGCTTGCCAAACCTCCAGTCTGAGAAATACATGTGCACATTTCACTGTCTAAGAAGTCACAGTGATGGTAACAGCTCGGGGATGGTAACACCGGGAGGGGACCAGAGTGATGTCTGAGTGGCCCGACCCACGAATTAGGGGCAAATCCCCTTTGATGCAACAAGGTCCAAAGGGTCAGAGGCTCCCCACCCTTCTTCAGGAAGATGTTTGGTTCCCCCAGAGCAAAGCCCAAGAATATATGGATGCTGATGGAGAGACGCATAAAGCTTCCGACCTAAAGCGGAAGAAAGATTCTCCCCTGGCTTTGTCGAGCACCTTGGCTGCTGGGGAGGAAAATCAATGCATGGTCCTCCTCCTTGTTTCTCTTCTCCATGTGCTCTATCTTTATGGGCTCCGTTCACCTTGTTCTCAGAAGCACACATGTTAGGGTCGACCTGGGGAGCAGGGAGCCGTCCCGCCGCGGGGAGCAGAGAGCGCCCGCTTCCCCCACCCACGGGCCCGCGGCCACCCCAGCCCAGGCAGGGCACTTACGGACAAGGACAGGAATTCTTTCCAAACCAGGTGCAGCAAGCATTCCCCACATTCTTCCTCTTTGCACAGACCTGTCCCAGTGCAGACTCATCCTGTCATACCCGATCCACCTCAGCATGCCCAGGCCATACCTGGGGGTCAAAGGCCCAGGAGCACTGGATTTGTATCCTCCAACCAAGGGGCATCTCTCTTTCTCTGCCTTTTCAGCTCCTCCTTGTCCTGGGTCCAGAGCACAAACTAGTAAGGGGAGGACCACTTTCCCTCATCCCTACTTAAAGGCTGAAACTGCCCAAAGTGAACGTGCTTTGTGTCCCGTGAGAATTTCCCAGTTAGCACAGGGTAGACATCTGACGGCAATCATTCATCCACTTTAGACATGGGTGACCCCTGCATGTCGCCTGAGGGAATCTCCATCCTAAAGCTTCTGGTAGCTCCCTGTCCACTTTCAGTTCTCCTAAAAGTGAGCACCAGGGGGTCAGAGCCCATCTGCCTGGGCTCACCTCCTGCCATCCGTGTTCCCCCACCAGCCCAAAGATTCTTCCCCTACTGCTCCCCGCACCCTGCCCTGTCATCCCACCCCAACCTGGGTCTAGGCCCTTATCATGGGCTGGGTGTGGGTGCCACAAGGACAAGTAGGACACCCACCCTCATGGTGCCCTGGACCCCTGGAAAGGACACCGTCAAGTCACACAGACACAAACGCTTACCTGACTGCCTAAGCCCTCAGGCTGGACTTCTGGGCTCCCAGCAGCCACCTCTTTCTGATCTCCTGCCGCTAAGCATTTCATGATTCAAGCACCCACCCCCAAGTCACTCCTGCAGGAATTTTTCCTTACCCACAAGACAAATTCTAGATTTCAGACGCCTCCCTAGTATCCCCACTTTGTTCTCTCCTGACCCCCAAGGCAGCCCTCCCCGCCCCCCTGAACACAGCATTTGCTGACCATGCCCTCAGGAGCCCCTCCCCATCGCTCGAGGCCCTGCCTGGTCCTCTGAGCCCAGGAAACTGCACCCCTGCCTCTTCCCTTTGCGGCACAGCTTGCACCTGCTCATCTGGGACCAAACATGACTATAAAACCACAATCATTTCTCACGCTACAGAGTGGTGGGAGAATACTCTTGGGGGAGGGTGGGCAGTGTTTTGCAGAGAAAGCCCTTGGGTGGTGCAGGGAGAAGGCCCAGGGCCCCGTCCAGATGGGAGGGCTGACACGATCGTAGGGGACGGCCCGCACGGCCTGAGTGCAGAGCTGGGACTTCGGCTTCCACCGGGAAGACATACTCTGGCGGCGGGCTGGGCTCCCTCCCTTCCTGGGGGCTGGTGGCCTAACTCTGGTCATTTAGCTCTAAAGGCAGGCACGAGTCATCTCAAAGCCTAGCGCGCTCCAGGGAATGTGGTGACAATCACACCCCGTGAATGACCGCAACGTGAAGGAAAACTTCATGGGAGGGATAAGCCCAGTTCTTCCATAACACGGTGCAGCACGGAGGGAAAGACTTCTGTGTTAACAGGCAAGTGTGGAATCTTAGCATTTCTGTATTGCCGGCAGACCCCAGCCCCAGAGGAGGCAAAGAAGGAAAGGGGCGTTCTGGATTCCAAATGCTCATCTCAGAGCCTGGAGCCAGCTCTGAGCATGTCCGGGGATCACCAGCCAAAGAGGAAAGAAGGTGCCCCGAATCCCAGAGCTGGGCTGCAGACCGGATGGTTCAGAGCCTGCAGGGACAGCAGATTTGACTCCAGAGCTCAACTCTGTGTCCACTGCCACTGACAATTCAGGCCAGAGGCTGGGATGGGGCGGGCCCATGGGTTAACCTCAAGCATTGGGGTCTAAAATGCAAGAAGCCACGGAGGGCAGGAGATGTCTGGAAGGCATTACTTAATGAAACGATTCAGGTTTGCCCCGCAGATAGGGATTCTTTCATGTGTAACCTGTGACCTTCATGGTTTCTAATTTCTGCGTGAGAATTGACTAGCCTCAGAGGGCCGGCTGCAGCCAGGGCATGGGGTTAATGGCTAGCTCAGGCACAGATTCAAGGTCGCAGACCGACAGGCCCGCAGACGTGACACTGTGTTCCACGGGCTCATTCCCTGGACAGAGCTGGGAGAGGCACCCAGTGGTGGGCCCTGGGCTTCCAAGATGCCAAGTGTGGGTCCTGCCTCCCAGCCTAGTGAGGGGGGAGAGCCCACAAACATGTGATTATTTAAAATAATGTCAGGATTTGTCTACCAGCTTCCCTTTATATCCTGAGAGGCCTAGTATCTTATCCTGAGATCTGTCTGCCTCCCACCCCACGGTGGCCAGGGAGCCAGGTCACTGATGCATTACATCCTGTCCCATAACTTTCTTGTGTTCCATGCAGAGACCAGCGGGGGGCGCTGAACATGCCAACTAACACTTGAGGAGTTGTCCTGGAAGGGCACGAGGAACAGAGCGAAAAGCAACCAACAGAACCAGAGGAAACATTTGCAAATCACCTATCTGATAAGGGACGGACACCCAGAATACACAAAGACCCCCCACAATCATCCACCACCACAGACAGCACCCCAATTCAGAAACGGGCAGAGGACTTACATGCACGCACGCACGCACGCACAAAATACACAAAGGCCAACAAGCACGTCAAAAGATGCTCAGCATCGCTAATTAGGGAACGAGACATCAAAACCACAATGAGCTACCACTTCGTACCCATTAGGATAGCTGCTATTTTTAAAAAGCACACACACACAGAAGAGAACTAACAAGTGGAGGCAGAAACTGGAACGCCTACGTACCGTTGGCAGGAATGTAAACTGACACAGCAGCAACCAATTAATACAGTCCCTCCAACATTTCAGCATAGAATTGCCATACGATCCAGCCATTCCGCTTCGGGGTGTAAACCACAAAGAAATGAAAGCAAGGACTCCAACGGATATTTGCGCACCCATCATGTTCATGGCAGCATTGTCCACAACAGCCAAAGGTGGAAACGATCCAAACATCCAGCAGGAGATGAATGGGTAAGTGGAAGGTGGTGCATACATACGGTGGAATACTATCCAGCCTTTAAAAAGATGGGGTGGGGCGCCTGGGCGGCTCAGTCGTTGAGCATCTATCTGCCTTCAGCTCGGGTCATGATCCCAGGGTCCTGGGATCGAGTCCCGCATCGGGCTCCCTGCTCGGCAGGAAGCCTTCTTCTCCCTCTCCCACTCCCCCTGCTTGTGTTCCCTCTCCCGCTGTGTCTCTCACTGTCAAACAAATAAAATCTTAAAAAAATGAATTAAAAAAATAGATAAATAAAAAGATGGGGAATTCTGACCCCTGTTACACGGGTGAAACTTGAACACACCGTGTTGGGTGAAACAAGCCAGTTGCAAAGGACACATACCGTGTGACTCCACTTACAGGAGGTCCCCAAAACGGTCAGGTTCATGGGACGGAGAAAGGAATGGTGGGCGCCAGGGCAAGGGGCGAGGGGTGGTGTAGGTAGTGCTCAATGGGTGCAGAGTTTCATCTGGGGACAATGAACGTGTCCTGGAGACACTGGAATGTGCTTAACACCACTGAACTGCACTCTGAAAATGGTGACAATGGTAAATTGTCGCATATATTTTACTACAATTTTTAAAAAGCCTTGATAGGTTGATTTCGACTCAAGTCATCCATATAAAAACAGCTTTGTGTTTGAACCAACACACATAAAAATAAAGGAGTTCCTCGTCTTCTGCCAGGCATCACCCCAGGCTCCTCGATGGTGTTGGCGGACTACCCGCTCTGGGGGTCCCCGGCCCCTCGAGACGGCCTCAAACACTCACAGACCCAGGGGCCGCCAAGCCGGGACAGAGTACTCAAGAGTGGGGAGTCGAAATACTAATCTGTGAGTCGTATGGATCTAATTCCTCTTGCTTTTTTAAAAGACAAAACTATCATAAAACTCGTCTGGGTCTCTTCATAGGCGCACAAAGCACAGAGAAACTGACTCACTTTCCATTTGAAAACGTGGTTGGTCCTGTACCCGGGTGGTCCCCTATCTCTCCAGCCTCTCATGCCCTTTCTAGCTTGTTTATGGGGAAAGGTTGAAAGCTTTGAAAACCGTCCGTTCTTTCAAGAAATAGACACATTTAAAACCCTTGTCAGGGACCTAACTGATGTGGTCCCACGGCAGAACCCAGAGAGGGGGGATTTGTCCGGCTACACGCTACGTATGACGGAGATTCGACTCACTGTAAACAAGAGGGATTAGGAGCGCAAAGCTGGGCCTGGCGGGATCCAATGACGCCGGTCCTAGGAGAAGAAAGGCTCCTCGGGAGGTGTAAAGGGGTTTAGCAGAGACGAGCGCTGGTATCTGCAGTCACACTCACAAAATCGGCAATCGTGCACTTACCGGCACAGTAAAGCAGTGTCACAGGGCTCGGGCGACAGCGTCTGCACCTCCCAAGCCCGGAAGAGCAAACACTTAGTGCCAACTGGGCCATCCCCTTGGCCTCTAAGCGCTCTCAGCCGCACATACAACCAATTGCCTGTTACTTCCCGGGCAATAAAGCTGGTTTTCCTGCAGCCAGCTCCCCAACACCTGAGGGTGCTGTCCCGGAGAGACAGCTGTAGAAAGAGGGTCTTTCCCACCTGGTTTTCTCAGCTTACAGCTTCCAGTACACGCCAGCAGGTACAGATGAGCGTGCCCACAAGCACACTTGTCCAGCAGGAGGCCTTTTCAGGGCGCCTTTGGGAGGCTGCAGAGACAGAGAAGGGTCCACACATCGGGTCAGCCCTTGGCTGACCCTCATAGGGCCTGGTATCTAGATCCTAGTCCTGGTGCAGGGAACTCATCCCAGGCCATGTTGGCCGGGAAGCCTGAGTTCTCATCTCTTCTTTTAAAAATAACAATACACAAAAAGCAGGGACTGACAATTTTAGGAATGCGTGAAAGCTTTGAGAGAGAGTGCAGGAGAGAATAAGGAGCAAACATAAACCCATCACCCTGAGACATCTCGGGGCATGAGCTTGCTTGTTACCGGTGACCTCCGTCAGGATTTGAAGGGCAGAGGATGCAGCCAGCCTCCATGCCTTGGGAGCTTTCGTGGCGGGGGGGCGGGGTGGGAAGGGGTCAAAGGTGCAGCAGGCGGGGTGAGAAGGGGTGGGCAACAGTGGGCCATGCCATGCAGAATTTGCTCAAGGTGACTCCGGGAACAGAGACACTAAGCAACGCCACCCTGGCAGTGGGAACAGGCATGTTCTTGTGCCCTTCGAAGCCTCGTTGTGGAGGGAACTGGAGAAGCAGAGAAGGAAAGTGGAGGCCGAAAGGCTGGCTGGGAGTGCACCGGTGGGGAGCACCTAGAGGCACACCTCACGAGGTCTGGAACAGTTTGGAAGGTTGTGTGGGAAAGAGGGGCCAATCTGACCCATGCCAACCACCTCCTGCACCAGCCACCACCACCATGCCGTTCAGATGTGTAGACGTGTCATAGCCTCGGTTCCTCGGCGGCTACATCACAACCATGAACGCCATGCACCCGATTTGGGCAGAACAGTCACCACATGCCACTGACCATCTGACACCCAGGGAGACTGAAATCGTACTGGGAGGGGTGCCGGGGTGGCTCAGTCCATTAAGCATCCGACTCCGTTTCAGCTCAGGTCATGATCTCGGGGTCCTGGGATCGAGCCCTGTGTCAGACTCTGAGCTCAGCAGGGAGTCTGCATGAGATTCCCTCTCTCTCTCTGCCTCTCCCCCAATTCGCTCACTTGTGTGCACCTGCTCTCTCTCTCTCTCTAAAAATAATAAATAAATTAAAAAAAAGAAAAGAAAAGAAAAGAAATGGTACTGGGAAAGGCAGGTCCAGGTAACAGCCTGCTGTGCCCGAAATCTGCTGCTTCAGGTCAGAGAAGGCAAATGGGATGCTTATGCGGTTAAGGAAAAAACTCGCCCAGAACCATATCAAAGTGCTGTCTGCTCTCCTCATGCTCCTGACACGGTGAACGCTGCAGGTGGGAACCATGTGCGTGCCCTGCACAGAGTCCACCCATGTTATTCACGGTACATGACAGCATGGATGATACAATCCCACATCTGGAATTGATGGAGAAGCGCCGATGGTCACGTAGCTAAGAACGTATTTCCTAAAGAGGGGTGCAACATGCACACATGTTTTCCAATTACGTGAGAAGCTCTGGGGCCGCGGTTAGTTTAGTAATTTGTGCAAACTGTCTGCACTGTCATCTTGCCCAGCAAGTGATGAGATCTTCATTTTCCCAACAGGACTGATAGGCAGAGTAAGACCAAAAAAAAAAAAAAAAAATACCTCTTTGTAAAATAACTAAAACTCAGAAATTCTTAAAATTACACATATGTAATTTATATAGAAACAAACACATTACCCTTAAGCTTCACTGATTTGTAAAAGCAAATTTAGAAAAATTGATGGAGTTTTAGATGTTTTGATGCACAGAAGATCAGCTGTCATAATATATCCAGCAAATGGGATTCATTCACGTACTGCTTTTCATTTCTCTTACTCTGCGGTAAACACAGTAATTTTATACTACCTACTCCCCGTGAAAGTAAGGCTTTTATCTTAAAAATGTGTCCAAGAGCTTGGGAATGCCATTTCTGTCCCACATGTGCGTGCACATGACTGCATCTGGAAGGGGCAAACTCCTCTGCTGGATTTTCTTTAAAAACACCCAGATAGTTATACTATTCTCATGACTTTTCTCAACGTTTTCAAGTATTCTACTTACTGCAGACAATCCAAAGTATATCGAAAACCAGGAAAAAAGTGCTCTGGAGGTGAAAAAATAAAATTTCCTCATGTTGAATAAGCCTTTATTCACTCGTTCCCGAATTGAAACCATAGCTCCGTTTAGAAGCCTGAGAAGAAATTGACCAGCCATTTCCATAGGGTTTCCTGTTGCCATTTCTCACAATAGCAACCAGGGCCAGGGCCTGGGTGCCGTGAGTGAGGCACTCAGGAGCACAAGTCAGGGAGGCATCACTCCTGAGTTCTTGCAAGGTGCTGTATAACTGCCAGGGAACCAGGGACATGGTGTCAACGTGAACACAGAGCAGAGGTAAAATGCCAGGGTGCCAGGGATACTTGGCAACACCCGGTTGAGAACCAGACCGTAGGGGAGATCTTTAGGGGACAAATAGGGCTTACTCTCCCAATCCTATACCTGAGCCCTTATTTTAAGAAAATCACAATTGCTTTCCCCACAGGTCTCTGGGGGCTCCGAGCGACTTCAGTATGGTTCACACAGTCATGGGAGGGGAGTGGTCTTTAAGACTCATCTTCCCGGGTCTCACTGTCTTCAGCATCATCTTCTGAAATAATGAGGCTAAGGACCTGGACGTCCCAGAATTCAGCCATCTGGTCAACCTTATTCCTATGGTCCAGGGCTGTCGCTCTTCACTCACTGACTCCATGACATTTGCTGCCCCCCCACCCACAACCAGCCTCTTCTCCTTAAGTCATCAATCCATGCCCCTCCATCAGTGAATGAAAAGAGCTGAGAGGACCGCACCCCAAAGAGTACTCAGAGCCTTTCCCTGTCCTTCCACACAAAGCACAGCCCCCCCCCCCAACACACACACATCCATCCTCCCTCCTCAGTGGAGACTTCCCACCTCAGTAAAGTTGGCCTCTCTGGATTCTGGATGCCCTCCCTTCCTGGCACTTCTGGTAGGAACCTATTCCTACAAATAGTGCCCCCCAGATACTGACAATACACCTTCCAACACCCACTTCACACCAGCAATTGATCCTTTAATTAAACTCATATCTTAAATTATTATTATAAAAATAACACATCGACATGGTAGAAAGTATTTCACACAGTACAGAAAGATGTTAAATGAAGAGTAAAAACCTCTTCCTGTATCCCCCTCCTCCTCATCCCACACTTTATAGACAACCTCTGTAAGAGCTTCTGGTTTGGGTTATTCTCACAGCCGCCATTAGAACATTAAACAAGGTACTTAGACATTGTCTCCAAGCCCACTCCCGCATGCAGCACATACTTATTCTCCTTTGCAAAAGGGGAAGGGACAGCGTAGGTGCACCTCATCTGTCTGTCCTTCCTACATTTCCTTTTATTCTACCATCTTTAATATTTCTCTTTTCACCCACAATTTTAAATGATATACTTCAGACAGAAGTTCTCAACCTTGACCAATAAAATATGGATGACACATGAAACATTTTCAAGTACAAATAAAAGATCCTTTCCTCTTCAGATCAACTAAATGTCTCTGGCAACCATAATATAGTTTTTACATTGTAGATGTGATTCTGATGAGTAACCAGAGTTGAAAACTATGGAGAAAGATGGTTTTATTCAATGTCAGGAGGCCAATGTGAAAAGACAACAAGGGTAAATAAAATCACCATGAAGAGCTAATCAAGGTAAGGAAAATAACGTGGAGCCAAGAATAAGAAAACAAATGCTATTTTTAATAAAGTTAAACACAGACTTATCATATAACCAAGCAATCCCACTGCTCAATAGTCACCCAGGAGAAATGAAAACACATGTTCCCATAAAAACCTACACAAATGTTGTAACAGCTTTACAGGGTGGTCAAAAACTGGAAATAACCCAAATGTCCCTGAGCCGAGCAACAGGTAAACCACGGTTACATCCACACGATGGAATGCTACTCAGCAGTACAAAGGAATGACCTGCTGATATGTACAAAACATGGGTGAATCCCAAAAGCATGATGCTGAGTAAGAGCAGCAAACTGAAAAGGTTACATACCGCATGATTCAATGTACATGGTATTCTGGAAAAGGCAACCCTGCAGGGACAGAAATCAAATCAGTGGTTGCCAGAGGCTGGGAATGGGAAGAAGGATTGGCTGCCAAGGAGCACAGGGACATTTTTAGCGTGGATGCACATATTCTGCACGTTGGTTGTGGTGGCAGTTACGTGGCTACAGGTAGATTTTTTTACCTCAAGATTATTCTATGACAAACCTGATTTTAAAATATAGTGAGGACTATTCCCCAACACATAAATACATGGGCTTTGAGCAAGTAAAAGATTAATGCTCAAAAAAGAACTACAGCTACAAAAATTTAGACTGAAAAATTTTAAAGGACATTGATGACACTGTTGAAAACACTATTTTCTTCTTATCCATGGTAATCGTTCTCAGGGCAGTTAAATTTCTAGTTTTCCTGTAACGTGCCTTTGTTATTTGGAAGCTGATTTCTAAGTTATCATAGCTGTTTCTTGCTATAGAGCTCTTTCTCATATTTTATAAGTACAGTAGAGATGTTAAATTTTATAGATATATTGTGTATGTGGTCACCATATTGAGTTAATGCACCACTACTAGATGCTATGACATACAGATAAACTGTTCTCCTGCT